GCTGGCTACGCTCAGGTAGGAGATGGGTGTGCTGACATCAATGAGGCAAGACGTCAAAGATCAAGGTGGTTGTAGTAGGCTGTAGTTTATGCCTTGCTTGTAGGGTGTCAGTGTTGAGGATGAGGTATGACGTCAAGAAGCGGGCAGAAGAAGCCTATCTGTAGTCTTAGAATGGATTTGAATGTGTGGATAGAGATGAAGTACGTAAAATGGCAAGAATCATTAAGTAGCAATTATTGCTGATCTGCTGACGGCTCTTATAATGTAGAGGGGTATTCCAGTAGTCTTGAGGAAAATGTCAAAGGTCGGTGTCCACCTGCCAAAGTGATTGTATAACCGATGACATATAATTAACTGCTGGCTGAAACGGTGCATGACAGAACATGGATTTAGTTCTGTTTCTTTTATTGCAGTGTTTCTTGGCAAATCCTTGCTTTGACAACTGTACCAACTTGTCTCCAGGCTACGAGTGCGGTGCATGCCCACCAGGCTATGTGGGTAATACACCACATGGTATCGGCATGGAGCATGCTCAAGCTAATCCACAGGTAAGAGGCTTTAACCTTAACCCTAACTCCCTAGGTGGAATTTCAGGCTATTCATGGTGAGAAAGACAGCAACAGGTGGAAAAGGCTTGCGGTAGCACCATGCGAAGGAAAATATCTCTCTTGTGAGTATGTGTGCTTCTCAAAAGAACTAGGAAATGTTGAATATATTCCCAGTTCTTTTCAGAACCACACATACTCGTAAGAGAGATACATTCCTTTGAATGGTGCTAACGCAAGCCTTTCTGCCTGTTCACAACTCCCTAGGTTTGTGTGTAATCATTTTCAAATTAGATAATTAACCCCTGAGAGGGCTAGTTTATGCCTATTACCCTTTCTGATTGAAAAATTGGAATTGGACAGGTACTTGTCTCTTAATCTGGTGTGATGAGGTATAAATATTACAGCTAATTAATTAAATTAATTAAAGCTAATTAAACCTACATTGAACCCTGAGAAGTTTTTATGCTGAACCTGCTTGTGTTAATGTCAGGTTTGTGAAGATATTGATGAGTGTGCCATTGATAATGGAGGATGTGATGCCAGCGCTGGTTGTGAAAACACAGCGGTAAGAATAAACATGGACTTATTTGGTGAAAAATGCAAAAATTCCGAAAGCAAATATTCTGAGCTCTCAAAATCAGTGTTGTGACATCAACATTTGAAAAGATCTTCTTTTAAGTCAAAATATTTTTCCAGGGAAAACATTTCCGGCCATGATTTTGTTGCAAATGCTTAAGTGTTCGTCATCCTAAAACTCCTGAATAAATTGGAAAAGACTTTTATAAAAATGAGATTTAGAAGAAGAAGAACCTTTTATAGCAGTAGCCTGGGTAAAAGTCGTGTAGCTAGGTAATGAATGAACAGTTCTTGACCTGTAATCAGTCTTTGAAGGACCGCTGTTTTCTTATTTGCTTTTCTTAATCATTTGGATTTCTTGTCATTTTTTTTCAATCGCAGGGAAGCTATAGTTGTGGGTTTTGCCCACCTGGTTACCTAGGCAACGGTAAGATTGGTTGCAGCCCTGGTGATTACTGCCTTTTAGGTCAAGATAACTGTCATGAGAATGCTACGTGCATCACAACAGGTGCTGGCACTTTTGTCTGTGAGGTGAGTTGTCATGGTAACTAAAATAGAAATGAAGCTTTGGGCTCTGTGATATCCAGTTGTCATGTTTGTGAAGGGAGTGATTAAGATAAATGGTTTGTGCTTGATCAATTTAGGGCATTTGTGGGAGTGAGGTAAGGAGCCAAGCTTAATGTGGACCATGTGAACCAAAGATCTTTAGCACACACAAGATTCAGAAGGATATTATGTACCACTTCATGGAGACTGTTTCACTTGTCCTTCATTCAGCTGAGCTGGGTGGCGTGTCCATGATTCTTCCCCTGAATTCTCACGAGATGTGGTGCTGGGAGATTAGGAAGAGGTTTAATTTGACCTTTATCCTCGTTGGAGGTGGATCATGATCCATTCCACAGCTTCTCTGATTGTTTTCCACCACTATTGGTCTTCTCTGACTTGTATCTATTTGTTCTAAAGGGAGATGGTGTGCTCCATATCTCAGCAGTTGGCTCTGTGCATTAACAGTGGAGGATGCCTTCTCATAAGAGATGATTCAGAATGGTTGATTGAAACAGACAATGTTAACTGCATTCTTTTGTCCATGGTTACTGGTCACATGCTTTGAGGAACTTGTTTTCTGAAGCAGAAAGTAGCAAACAGACTTTTAAATCTTTCCAGTTTTGTCAGGTTTTTTTCTAGTTTTTTGTGTCAATGGAAATTGTCGTGACAGGAGAATAAGTGAAACTTACAATAAAGTATGACTGTTTTCTTCAGTGTGACAGTGGATGGGCAGGTAATGGTGTCTATTGTGGAGTGGATACAGATCTCGACGGCCGACCAGAATTAACACTTCTGTGCAGCGACACCTCCTGCAAAGCAGTGAGTTTGTACATCTTAACCATTTCTGTTCAGAACCAAGTTATTGTCATTTCAGGAATAAGTTTTTTTGTGGTTTTAATTTTTAATGGGTAATGTAACCAAAATAGCAAAAAGTATATCCATGGACAGTAGGAATTGTGCCAAGATGTCTTCTGGATTTTCAAGAACTACTAACTGAACTCACTAGTCGCAAAATGTAAATTCTAGGATTATGGGAATTTGGAATATCTTGCGATATTTACCATATCTGCAGTCTACAGCATGGTTGTGCATGGGTATCATCTCACAGGTCAGAGGTTTTGTTCGGAGGTATGTTCACCAAAGCTCTACTCATTTCCATCCCTTTGGAATGAACGCACTGACCTTAAAGATGGCTGCCATGCACAACCTCAATACATTTGAAGCATTCATTATGGATTGCAGCTTATTCAAGGGAGCCTCATCATGCAAGCATATGGAACACAGGTGTCTAAAGCCCACTGTCCTTCATCTTTGCTCCGCTGTGCTTCTTACAGCTTGCGAAAGGCCAAGATATCTTTTTGATTTGTGGGAGAAACTAATAACGGGACTCACCTGTTCCTCTTTTTGCAGGATAACTGTCCCCAACATCCCAACAGTGGACAGGAGGACACAGACAGCGACTCCATTGGTGACATCTGTGATAATGATGATGACAATGACAGTGTCTTTGATACTGTGGACAATTGTCAATATGTTGCCAATACCCTGCAAGGAGACACAGATGGTGACGGTGTCGGTGATGCTTGTGATAATTGCCTCTCCAATAGTAACTCTGACCAGTCGAATAATGACAATGATGGCTTGGGTGATGTATGTGACCCAGATGATGATAATGATGGTACGTTTTGACCAGCAGAACACTATTCTTTGACACACTTTGACATACTTCAAGACATATTTTCAAGACTTAGCGCGAGCTACGTACAGCAACGTTATCAGATGCTTTCCATTTGCAATCAGAAAGGCAGTCAGTCCTTTTTTTATGTGAATTTAAATTGAAATTAAGCGGAAGTCATTTGTAGAAAGGAAGCACTAAATATGTGTTATGTTAAGACAATTGCAAGTTCCTTGGACCCTTGGAGATGAGGAGTGATTATTATAGATCTTTTGGTTTGGTGTTCAGAGTTACAGAAGCTTTTGACCCACATGAGTACGTATAATGCAGCTTCATAAGAATGTTGGTATTCCCTTTAGGTCTTGATGATAGCAGTGATAATTGTCCATTCGTTGCCAACGTGGCTCAAAATGACACGGATAGCGATGGTGTAGGTGACGCGTGTGACAACTGTCCTGATAATGCCAACACTGCACAGACTGATTCAGACCAGAACGGATACGGTGATACATGTGATGTCATTGGTGGCGCCAACAAAGACATGTAAGAAGAATCAATTATTTCCAAGGCCAAATTTGCACCAAGGAAATGTTAACTAATTTTGGATTTTTTTTGCCGTGCCCGACGTATATTGTAACACTGTATACTCAGTGTTTTGCCCCCGAAGGCTTGTGAAAAAATCACAAATGTACTCGGGTGGGATTTGAACCCACAAGTATTTATGAATGGGAATAAATCACAAATGTACTCGGGTGGGATTCGAACCCACAAGTATTTATGAATGGGAATAATTTGTGCTTGGCCAATCTTAAAGGTTAGTTTAAGGACCAGCTAAGGAGATTGAATGCTGATAATGCTCTTCTCTGTGGCTCTGGCATTAATTTGGTTCATTCTCATGAGCTGGTCGCCAACCAAGCACATATTTATTCCCTTCAAAAAATCTGCCTATTCTTCTTTTATTTCAATGTCAGGTTCCAGTTGTTTGTATTTTATCTCATATAATTGTAGAACAAGTTGTCTCTGTCTGTCATGGGTATGGTAATCCGATCCAGGTGGTAAATACTATTCTCTGATAATGGTTTGATGCAATTTTATAGAGATGGGGATGGTATTCTAGATTTAGACGATAACTGCATCAATATTCCCAATGCCGATCAGACGGACACCGATGCTGACGGTGATGGTAAGTCCTTACATCATGACTTCACTTTCCCCTGTGCATCTGTGCCTTGTATGTTAATTTGTCTTGCATGTTTAACCTGTTTTGACTGGAATGTTGGAGTAAGGTTAACTGATTTTCAAGTTTTGACCCATGTTTGTTTCCAGTGATGGTTGATCAAAGTTTAGTGTTCGGTTCATAGATTAACTGGTAAACATGAATATTATGGATAATTTTGTTTAATTGTAACTTCTTTCAGGTGATCTGTGTGACAGTGACAAAGATGGCGATGGCATCTCAGATGAAAGTGACAACTGTCCTTATGTTTCCAACAGTGGACAGGAAGACACAAATGGTAAGTTTTTAAAATCCTTTCGATTATGACAGTTCAAGATTTATTAGTCATATCTCTAACAAGTGATAGAGCCAGTTGGAGGAGGGGGCAAGAGGTCCCACAGGGGGTAGTACCCTCCCCCCTTACCTATGCCACGGTCTCTAGCATTTATGCACTTGTCTTTTCCAGGCAATAACTTGGGAGATGTCTGTGAGACTGACTATGACAGTGATGGCATTGTTAACAGCGAAGACATCTGCCCTAATAGCAACAAGTACCAAGCCACTGATTTTGCCACGGATTACATCTCAGTAGAATTGTATCCTGGTTTAGTCAACGCTACCAGTCCAATCTGGGTTGTCACTGACAATGTAAGCTTATACTTTGTAATAACTGTGTTCGGCTGCATTTCTCTTGATAAGAACATATCCAGATGTTTTGTGCGCATTAAGGCGCCTTTCCATGTGCACATGCCAAGCGTTGCGCATCTATCAAAATCACACCCAGGGAGATTTTGACAGTTGAACACAACACACATGTGTGTCTGTGGAGTTGATTTTTGTGTCCATAGAAGTGAAACACATAAATGCATTCTGTACACAATGCGCCCAGAAAATAAACATATTGAAAGGCGCCATTATGCAGATCACGTACATCACCCCATCAGTCAATATTTAGTTTTCTGTCATCTTGAAATAACCACGTGATGCACGGGTGTACTCCTGGCCTGATTGAGAAAATGCTCTTGCTTACCCATGAGTCACAATCCTGGGGTTCATATGCTCAAAGAGTATACTCATCTGAGAAGGAGTAACACAGCCAGTAATACAAGTATAGAGGGTTTGCATGGCTGCCATCTTGCAGGCCAGTGCTCATGTTCCACAGGGTATGCACAAAGGAGGTTTCCCCATGGAAGAAAAGAACTGCCCCTGCAAGATGGCTACCATGCAAAACCTCTGTAGGAGTAGGCCTAGAGTTTGGTTTATCTACAGTCTTGTTGCTGAACCGGAGCCTATTGATGATTAATTGATAGTGAAACGATGTTTGATGCAACAAACTACGGGATTGATTATTTAGATTTTTTGTCGGCAGGGAAAGGAGATTCGTGATATTAGCAACACCATTATGCCATCCATGTTAGTCAGCCAGGTTTCCATGGCATCCGTTGATTACTCTGGTACCATGTTTGTCAACACCAACGAGGGGAATAATTACATCGGCTTTGTCTTCGGTTACCAAAGCAACCGGAAATTCTATGTTGTGATGTGGCGACATGAGAACATGAACAACCCCAGAAACAAGGGCGGAATTAGGGGACTACAGATTAAGGTAGGCCTTACACATTAGCAAAATATGAGAGTTCTTGATCACTTTTGATTCATTTCGAATTTCTTAGTTACATCCGTAACAGGCTGTTGACGACATACAAATCTCCCTTATTTGCTGTAGAAAGTGAACTCTGCCACTGGGCCTGGCCAATCACTGGCAGATGCTCTGTACCATTCCTACACCACAGCCAATGAGGTTGAGCTACTGTGGCACGATCCACTTTTGCAGGGGTGGCAGCACCAGACTTCATACAGATGGTTTCTGACCCATAGGCCGGATATTGGGTTAATCAGGTATGCCTTCCAAAGAGTTTATGGCCCTCTTAGAGAAGAAAATTGAAATGATTAAGAACTGTTTTAATATTTATTAATGGGCCGCAACCTGGACTGAGAGATGGTGCTGTTTTCTTAGCAACGACAGCTCCTTTGGTGGAAACTGAACTTTGCTTGTTAACAAACAACAAGGAAATGCACGTATCACGGCCATGTTGCTACCAACAAATTGAACTCTCCCGACCAACACAGCTCTTTTCAACTGATGAGGGGGTGCTTGTTGCCCTGTTGGCGTTCATTGAAGGTTTTAATCTTGGGATAGAGAAGTCTTGGACAAGATATTTGTCTTTGAAAGATTTATTGTCAGAAAGAGGGAAGTCATCGTTATCAAATCAAACATTACTGTTATTTTTCATAGAGTTATTATCAAGGTAGGAGAGTTGACCTTGACTGACTCCGGAGACATCTATGACTCTTCTTACCTTGGTGGTCGGCTTGGAGTTTTTGTCTATGATCAAAAGGATGTCATATGGACTAGACTGAGTTACAAGTGTGCAGAGAGGTAAGCTATCTTGGTGGATATAATAGACTGATAAGTGGATATCATAGATTGATAATGGACCTGCTTGCATCAGTGACAGGTGGATATAATAGATTGGTAAGTGGATGTCATAGATTGGTAGATGGATATCATAGATTGATAATGGACCTGCTTGCCATTCATTGTTTATAGTTCTATGGAATCAGTTACCGTTGTATTATTACAAAGATGTTGACAAACAGGCAGAGCCACCAACACACGGCTGGATGGCTCAGTTGGTAAAGCACCGGTGCGGTATTCAGGAGGCCGCAGGTTCAAATCTCACTCCAGTTAATTTCTTTGTTCATCTTTCAAGTTAATATGCCGGTCAGTTCCTTTTATAGGTTGTTTGGTTTTAATGCTTCAGTTAGATTTCACTGGTTATTGAAAGTTTTTCACAGGTACTTCATCAACAACAGGTGAATAAAAACAAAGGAATGTCTTTGTAACAGCTGTATAAATGGCGTGAGGGTGAATTTGAGACTTGGCTAATCAAATTGAACACTCAAAACACCTTGCTTCATATTGCAGTAACGACTGTTTTTTTCTTTTGATTCAGGATCAATCAAGCTCTGGAGTTTGATGGCACTGATGATTATGTCCTCCTACCTAGCTTAGACACCTTGCAGATTACTTCTAGTTTCACCCTCGAAGTATGGGTGCATCTGCCATCTAGCTACCCCTCTACCAACGTACCTGTCCTCTGTACCTTAGATGGGAGACTCTGTATGTTCGTTGAGAATAGGTAAGTCACCTAATTGTGACAAATAGAATAGAAATGATACTTGATTGGTATTGATTAAATGGCAATGAATTAATTGTCCACCATTTTGCCATTACGGGCACGAGAAAATGCAACACAGTTGTTGACAGATTGTTTATAGTGGAATTTTTAATGGAATCACATTTCGGTTTTGGTCAATAACTGGTTGGGGATTTCATAGAGATATGGAGCGATTACATGGACCTGTATCTAATTTTGTTTTCATGAAAGTTCCTGAAGAGTCTGGTTGTGGGCTGAGGAGGCATACACTGAATTGCAAATAGAATTATGAACCTTTATGTTGACCGGTATTATTTGACTGCTCAGTTGGGGACTAAGTACATGTAGTTGCTGTGACTGCAACTATGGACTTTTATATTGACTGGCTTTATTTGTAGGATATCTCAGGCCAATGTGGGGATCTAGTAGTCAAAGGTACTACATATATGGACTTTTATAATCAGCGGTATTATCTGACTATTTCATGTAGGAATGTCAAGGGCCAAGTTGGGAACCAAGTGGTGACTGGGACTACTACCTTACCTGATTCTACTTGGAAACACCTTGCAATGAGATTTGATGCCCAGAGTATGTACTGAAGGACTTCCTTTGATATTGCCAATTTGTTGAGAGTTCAGCTCCTGATCCAGTTTGGGAACAATTCAATTTAACTGCAGTGCGTCTATAGCTTAAAAAAAATTTTATCAACATTGTCAAAGTGCTTTAAAATTACCATTCTGTTGACAACGTTTCAGTTCACTGCTAATGTTTTAATGGAAACAACTTAAGACAGTGTAAGTCCGGCAGGATAATTTCACATATACTGTAAAACTGTTCAACATCTCACTGCTAGTGAGGTAGATAAGTGCTCGGCAAGTACCTGTAAGCAAGTACTTATCTTTGTTTCATAAGTACTTGGTAGTAGATTACAAGTACTCCATCATTTCAAGAAGCCCTGTAGCTGGTCAAATGGAATCAGACATACCTGTCTTGTTTTTTTATTTACTCTCACTGAAGATTGAGTACTAGTGAAAAGTAATGTAAAGTACTTGTGAGGGAGTCGACTTCGACACTGCTAGTATATTACAAGTACTCCAGCCTTTGTAAAGCTCATTAGCTGTTCAAATGGACAGCCAGACAAATCTTTGTTACTTCTCAATACTCTTACGGAGGATTGAGTACTAGTGAAAAGTAATGTAAAGTACCTGTAAAGGACTCAACTTCAAAACAGCTGACCAGTTTTATGTGAATTGCTGATTACAGATAGAGAATTGAGTGTGTTTATCAATGGATCATCTGAGGCTACAGCAACAGGTGTTGAAACTCCCAGCTGGGTAAGTATCAATAGCTGTCATTTGCTTGCTAGCATCCCATGTCGTGCTTGAGTGCCCTTGGTTGGGTCCTGAGCTACTATCCTCTCCACACTTCACCGCCTCCAGACACAATATTATAGCTGCTTTATCATTGGTACCTCTGCAGTCTCCTGATGATGGACAGATCATACTACCTGAAACGTTGAGTACCCTGCGTTTCTTTTGAGAACCCCACGTACTCAAAAAAGAGACACCTTGTATGGTGCCAACACAAACCTCTATATTAAACTAACCCGTCAATGTTTTCAAGATGTATTTTTTTTGTCAATGGCTGTGTTTAGTTGCTGTGTGCAGAGCTGGAAATATTTGCCTTTTTTGTCTAAGAGAAGACTTGTGCAATGTTCAGTTCCATGACCACTGTGTAATTTCAGTCTTATATCTGTGAGGGTAGATTCGGTAATGCTAGCCATATGTGCCTGTTAAGGCAGCATCAGCTAGTATGCTCCTCAGGGAGCTGAGATGGTTTGAGGAATGTTCAGTTGTTGTGAGCCCAATGTGCAGGGATAGTGATAAAACATTGCCTTGAGCATGAGTTGTGATGGATATGTGCACGGTAAAATCCACTGTTATATCAAGAATGCAACATGTAGTCAATGAAGTCCTATTAATCCCTTTTGCCACAACAGGCTAATAATACTCAGCTGTATATTGGTAGAAACGAGAACAGTTCCTTCTCTGGTATCATGGATGAGGTAAGTTGAGGTACTTTACATTGTAAAGAGGGCTAGTTATAACAAAGCATACCTACATAGAGCTAGTTGGATCAGGGATAGTTTGTAACCACTGGTTGATTTTCCCTGATGCCCGGTGTTTATTTTGTACATAGGTTACCAGTGAAAATCGACCAGTGGTTGACACTTTGTTGCTCGTCGAACCATGCCTGTGGATGTTAGACTTAATTGATACAAATGATGACTTATAATTAGAAAAACGTGTATTCTGCAGGTGTTTTGTGCTTTGATTTGTTACGTATTACATCTTGTTATAAGATTTTGGTGGAATTGATCTTTTCTGTAACAGGTGCGTGTCTGGGGTGTTAGTTTGTCTGATGCAGAGATTGTAGAACATATGCAGCTGGCTAGCTTGGAACGACAGAAACATAAAGACTTACTCGATGCACACTATAATATGGACAATGAGGAACAAGGTATGGTGTCCATGCATAAGCGCTTTATGTCCGTAACTCCTTTGATCAGTAACCCCCCCCCAAATGGGAGATTTCTGTGGTTGCTGTTTCTCTCAGGAAATATTCAGGTATGAAGTGATCTCGCAATGATAAATGGCCTTGAGCAGAAGCACCCCCTCATCGGCTTAAAAGAGCATTGTTGGTCAGAAGTATTCATTTTGTTGGTAGCCATGCTACTGCAATGCTTGCATTTCCTAGTCGTTCGTGAACCAGCGATGCCTGTATTTAGTACCAAAGGAGCCTCCCAAGCTAAGGAAATAGCGCCCTCTCTTGGTCTAGCTTGAAGTCGGGTGCATTGTTACTGTTAGACTTAGTCTAGCCCATCTTCTCAAGGTGTACTACCAGAAGTCTTTTGCCTTTCTGTTTTAGCACACACAGGGTTTGTTTTAATTTGCACACAGTGATAGAAGGTCAAAGTTTTTCAAAAATAGAAGATGTTTTTATGAAGTTAAAGTCAGTATAAGTGAAATATACAAAATTAAAAGTGAAATTGTTTCAATTTTATTCTTTCCTTTTTTTTCATGATTCAGATGTTTTGATTGTCAAAGTGCATCAGAATATTGTTTTGAATGTTAATGTGCTGTGGATGTTATGACTTATTCTCTAATTCCAATTTCCAGGATCCAGTATGCTACTGGACCAAGGCCTGTATTCTCATCATGGTCTGATCATGGGCAATCCTGTCTTCACACCAAGCCTAGTCGATCAGGGTCGTTTTCAGGTTACATACCCTGAGAATCGACGAAGGCGACGAAGAAGCGTGGAATATCACTACGAAGAAAACCACACTGAACTGTAGAGTGGAAAATGGTTGAAGGTGTTCACTGTACTAGTGTGATTCAAACAAAAACATTGGGAGTCGTACAAGCCATTTGTGACCTGGCATGACTAATTGGGAGTCATACAAGCCATTTGTGGCCTGGCATGACTCATTGGGAGTCGTACAAGCCATTTGTGACCTGGCATGACTAAATGAGCATGAAGTCATATTCCACTCATTCCTCATTTGAAAATTAAAAGTCGACTATTGATGTGGAGGTCAATTTTGGCATTTTTGAGAGAAAACCGTCCATTTAATTCTATTTTTTTAGCAGGAGCAGGTATTTAAAAAGTCATTTTCTCAGCAATTTCGATGATAGCATTATTGGTGCCCAGTCAGAAATTTTGAAATAGTGTCACATAATGTCACAATGTCACCTTGTACTTCTACCCTAAGTGTTTCATATGCATACCACTGGAAAGCTCTCCTGTTGAATTCAAAAATTCAAAATATCTCAATTTTTGAACTTACTACTTTCAGATATCAAGTTGGTTTTTTGTTATATATCATTTAAACCTATGCAGTCACTGGTTAGATATTGAATTATATTAACTAGCAGGTGATGAATGAACAGGTGTAGATGGTTCGTTGTTTGAGTCGTCCACTCCAGGAACCAAACTAAAATCTTTTAGCAGCTGTAAGTTTAAACTTAATTACTAACAGGAATTTCTTTAGAAGACTTTGAAATATGAGCTTGGTGGTTTTAGACCTACCTATTGGTACATATGTCTACAAAATATGTCTATTAGTGCATTGCTTGTATTTATTATTTTTACAAAGGGTAAAACCCTCTCTTTTGTAAGAGTTAAGATTCCATTCACAGCTGTTTTATATTTCTTTTATATTTTACAATGTTTTTACAGTCAGATTCTTTAATTTCAGTATTTTTCAGTTACTGAAGAAATAAAAGAAGTCTATTTTTACATGCAATTTGTAAGTTTAAAATGAAGGACCACAAATGTACAGATAAGTTCAGGGACTCCTTTTAATGACAAAAGTCAGATGATTGTTTTTGCAAATGAAAGCTTACCCAGAGTTTTATTGTTTCAAACTTTGTACTGAATTTAGTACTATCCTTGTTTGAACTGAAAATGTACCTATTATTCTTCAAAAGTGCGTTATTAAAAATTTAAAAAGACGTTTAAACTTGTTAGAATTGAATTTTTAAAAATGCAACAATATGAACAAAATACAAATAAGTTTATTTGGATTTGAACTGGATGCATGGTTTGTAATATCACCAGAGGGAATTCCACATCGTAATTTTTAACCTGCTAAGAGTGTCCTCATCAGGTGGTTGGTTCACTCGAAATCCAACCATCAGCATGTATTCAATTTACAGGCTGTTCTGTGAAATTGGTCATTCCATGAGTTTGGGGAACAATTTGTGACGGTGTCAATTGTTACATGGGTTCCATAAATGTGGAAAGTTATTTCCCTGCATGTGGATTCCAAATTGACATTGTTATATATCTTGCAAGGCTGAATACAGAGGTGTGAGTTATTTTTACAGAGTAAATGACGTACTTTAAGGTCATGGCAGACGGTAAAAGTTACCCATGTAACAAGAACACCGTCACAACTTGTACACCAACCTCATGGAATGACCCAAGGCACCCTCAGTTTCTTATTGTATGTGGTGTAGAGTCTTCTTTCCGTCCAACGGATGAAGTAGGCAGACTGGTTCTTTGCCTCGGTAGGTCTTCAATGTACGAATGGAATCCAAGGCACACTGTTGGCCTTACCTGTAGCAGGGAAAGAAGTTAGATAACCCAGGATGCTGCTTCACGCGAGTGAAGTCTTTCAAAAAGTCATTTTACTACTAAGTTTCTTTTTGAAAGGTTAAAGTTCGAGTCATCTTGTCTGTTTTTAAAAGTTTGCAATATACATGAACCTGGTAGAGACAGACGATAAAGGGGTACTATAGCCCTTAATTATTGTCAGTCAAAACCGTTTATCAAGGCAATCATTTATCTTTGCTATGCTGTGGAGTGAAGTTAAATTTATTTTTCTGTAGATCCTTTTGTGTCAAGTTTATTTTCTGACCAACAGAAGTTCTTATCTAGTTCAGAGCATCTGTTTGCGGAAAACTATTGTCGTTTGTGGTAAAGATGTCGATTATTTTTGTACTTTGAGATATATTGTTATTGCATGATACACAGAGTAATGCTGATTGGAATATTGATTTTGAGGATTTTTGTCTGAAATTTTGTGCTTCAGTAATAATACAAATTAGGCAATGTTCTAATCTGTTTTGATCACCTATATTTACATTTTTTCTCAAGATTCAGTTTGTATAAGTAGGTAATTCAATTGTATTTTATTTTGTGTGTGCAGAAATCTTGGTATTATTTCTCGAGACGAGCAATATTAGCTGACAGATGTAAGATCATGTAAAAGTTGTAATTATTTCAACGGAATCAAACGCAATAGAAATGAGGTAATTTTGTTGATTTTATAATGCTGTTCAAATTCCCTGGAGTTTTTCTGTTCAAAATGTATGCATTGTTTGTTATGTGAATGATACTTCATGGAACATGTAGATGAAATAAAACCATACAGCTTTGAGCCAAGAATCTGAAAGATATTTTCTGATCAAAGGAGAAACTGATTTGCTGGTTTCAAATTACATATTTCCATGGACGCCCCAAAGCGTTTCTCTACATTTAAACTAGCAGAACTATACAATACGTACGAAGTGCTAATTCATACCATTTGGATCAATCTAGCATCATAACAAGACCAGTTGATGTTTGCATTAACATTTTATTTCAACACTGAATTTCATATCGAGTACACGAAAAAAACACCGAGTACACTACCATCTGATTGCTACAAAGCTATTAAACATCTTTATACGACTTTAACGTTTGAGACAAAACTCATTATGAACTTAATCCTGGTCTCAAGTTAAAATCCAAGAAGCATTCACCAGACAGGACGCCATGTCACAATAGAAACATGTAATACAAAACTCCTGCAAACTGCTTGCTGACCACAATGACTTAAAATACAAATCTCAAAATGTGGAGGGCGTGACGTTTCGCGATGCTCGCATAATCTCTCTCAAAGGCAATGAAATATGTAAACAACCGCATACCAAAGAACAATGTATAAAATAACTGCTACATTGGAGCAACCGGAGTATAACCTTTTGATCAAAATCAATATCAACTTACGTCTGAGTAGTAAAGAATTTACTGATGTTATATTTCTTGGTTATATATTTTTTGCCATGTCTGTTGTTTTATACGAGCAATGATTGTGACCGCCCCTTTCATGTAGTCTACGACTAACGTCAGCTAAACAGTTAATTTTCATATTTATTCATATTAATTAAATTCACAAGTTGAAAAGTTGCACAAGTTGGAAACAAAGCCACAGATTATAAACAAAATAGACACGTTGTTTGAAATTGCTCAATTTGACGAGATCTCAGTAAAAATACAGCAAAATATATTTTTACATCTCTGTACAAAATTGAACCAAATATTACCCATGGATAAAAACAAGTGGATTGCAACTAATTTGACTACGTGTCGTACAAAAACGTAAGTTGCTACATGATATGAACACAAATCACACCCAATAAGTAATTTACGACTAAAAAATTGACAATAACATCCCAATGAATTCAGTTTCTGTGTAGTATAAATTCTAATCAACCCACTATTGCTATTATTTATTAAACTCCCTATACCTTACATGCTAATTGACAAGTTTACTTCGGAATTATTTAGGATTAAATCCCATTTCGGATATCATTTTCCGTGTCTTCACCAATTATTTAATTTGAAACATTAAAAGCATGAATGTGTAACAAGTTTTGTGGATTTCATACGTCTCTTTCATTCTACGAATTTTATTTGCCACTCGTCTAATATCTTTACGCCATATCACTCATGTATACATACACACCAAGTAGTTCTCAGGACAATATCTGATGTCCTACATCCCAGACAAAGACGTGTCCAATTCAGCTGTGTGGATACTTGACGGTGAAGTGACAGACTGAGATACCTCTGGCAGATTGTAAGATTGCTTAACACCCGGACGGCTCGGCATCTTACAGCAAAGAAAACGCCCTAGGTACGGTGCTATAGCGGTACGAACCTCTTCACGTCGGATGCAAAACATGATGCACACGACCACGCCCTGCAATATGAAGACAGAAAGGGATATCCTCTTGTAACCACTTACACGTCTGTTTTTCCTCCCGTTTCTGGACAATGAAACCTTTAACACAGTTGCTTGTTTCATGCATCATTTTTCGATGTAAACCTCGATCCAACATGTACAAAGATTTAAAAAGCCCCTTTACCAGATACTTTGCAATCACTTAGCATATTTGTCTAAACATCCATTGAAAATGACAAAACCTCTTTATGTACTTACTTGCAATGAGTTGGTCAGGCAGAAGATGAGTTGGAAGGCAAATGTTGCTTTATCAATCGCTAGGAACCCAAACACCCAAGTCAAGCCCATGAGGACTGAGATACCCACGGCATTCTGGAGGCGTTTAGAGATCTGTTGCGAGCGAGAAACTTCTCTGACTTTCAGGAGACTGCGCATGACCAAGATAAAGGTGATGAAGTTGTGGAGAAGGATGAGTGCGATGGGAGCCAGGAGAGCGATGTACAAAACAAGATCAGGTTTCAGGAAGCAGCTGGTGAGGCAAGGATAACAAGAAGTTAAAGACTTTCCTCGATCTTATTAACAGTAGAAATTTGAACAGCCGTAATGTGCCCTAGTTGGGCTGGTTGAAAGGTCAAAACAATTGTTTCCATATCTTCATTACAATCTTCATGGACATTTTTTTGCAAACAGAAGAATTGCAAATGCATAGTTTGAATTTTTACTGTTTAGCTTTAACTAGAGATTGAAAAGTGCTTGAGTATCCTGATATAGTTAATCTTCCAACCTTTTGAACTAAACGTGGAAACTTTTGTATCAAGCATTACTGTGGCTCCATTTTTAATGCAAGAGTATTTTCTTAAAATAACCACACTTACTAGAGTTCATTCTTGTAGTGGTCAACCGCTGCAGCCAAGGTCACCGTCAGAACAAGCAACGGTGATCCTGAAATCAAGTGAAAGAATTACCAGCACATTTTATTAGATATTTCCAAAATCTGCCGTACCTCAAGAAGTTTGACTTCGCATGCTTAACAGCTTGGTAACATGTTTGAGCAGAATAAAACTAATAACATCGGCCGACGAAGCAATTTCCTTCAATTTAACTGATAATTCGGTGTGAAATTTTGAACGAGGCGAGTGGAACACAGAAAACGTAAGCAAAATTTCACGAGTAAGAAAAACATTTGCAAGCCATTAACTCACCCCATGCAATCAGGCAGGCTTTGATCATGTAGCGAGGTGTATCTTCGGGAAACACCTTCACGGTGCTGACGTACATATTCCTGGCTTCAACAGCCATCCACATCATGGTTGACAAAGTTAAGTAGTGGAGGAAAGCAGCAACAAACACACAACCACCACCCTTTGTGTCAATATCAAAGATTCAATCACTTCAGAATTAAAATTAACAGTCTAAAAAGACCTTTTGAAGTCAATCACCAAGGATTCATCCATTCACAGGCCAAATCGATGAATCTGGTCTGAGATTTATAACATTCAGTTGATTTTTTTTTACTTGGAATTTTCTCCAATCAGCTTACCTTTGCATTGTCGACGCCGGCAAGGAACACAACGTACAACATCAGTAAGGAGAAACAGAAGTGAATGAAGATCTGTCGAGATTTGCCAGTTCGTAATTTTCTGAGAGACAAGGAATTAGACTATGACTTTAAAACTGAGCATGTTGAAAAGAAGTGTGTTTAGGAGTCTACTTTTTGAAAGGTGTGATGAGATCAGAATTTTTGAAATACCGTTTTCCCTCTAATCAGAGCTGATACGCGAAAGGTACATTATATTATATTATCCTACCCGAAAGACATATCTTCCAAGATATACAGTTATATCAAAATAGTTTCAATGCCTCGGGATTACTCTAAAATGGTTTATTGTGTTCATGAAACGAAATTGCTAATTGTGGGCGTGGTTCCTGCACGTAACTTGTCTTACCTGATAGACAGATATATAATCAATGTGACAACCAGAGCAACGATCGACAAGGCACCACCGACCTGGCTGATGATGTCAAGAGCTCTATTCATAATCTCCTGACCTTTGACATCCTGAAAGAGAAACACAACACCAAGCTATCAAAGTCAATCAACTGAATCAGAGGAGAGTTTTGGCATAAACCAACCTCTGAAAACCTTCAACATTCATCATTGTTTCAATTCGTAAACTTACAGTGCAAACTGAAAATCATTTGAGCAACGGAGTTAATTAGCCAAAATGGGTACATTTATGTGCGCAGCTTTTAAATCTTATAATTACAACGATGCCTGTGTTACCAAAACAAAAGCTCGAATGAAACATCCTGCATCGCTTATAACTTATTTGTACTTATACTGCTTTGTCAATAGGTTCACTTGAGACAAAATTCAATAAAATAATCCTTTAATCATTGTTCTGAAACGCTCATGCAGTAAGTGAGACAGTAAGGTTGAATGCAGATGTACGGTCTGCGCTTCAACTTTGTTCTCAAACACACACCACGAGGATTGCAAAGTTGGTGGCGTGGTCGCAGTCACATGATACTACATCACTGGACAACCCTGAAAGCGTGCATCCAACCGTGGACCAATCACCGACTCCATCCTCAAGGTCAAAATCCCAGAAGACACACAGGGTGGTGTTCAAGTCTACGTCGGTTTCGTCTGGTGCCTGAAGGCATTTGAAAACATACATGAAAGTTATTACAAACCACGTGATCAGTTGTAAGTAAGCGCGACATTCCGAATGGCACTCAAAATTTCAAAACTAATCGATACTAATAGATCATCTGTAAACTAGAAATATTTGTAATAATCTCTATACAGGTGTACTTGCTTTCTTATTCCATCTTCTCACCTTAAACGTAAGAACAAGTGGTTCCGTAAGGTTGACAAGTTTAACATTTTCTATTGTCAAAGAGACCACAGATCCTGCGACTTTGCGAGTAGAGTTGGTTTCCTTCTGGTGCCTTTTGATGGAAGACGACTGGAACAATGTGTCATCAGCGTAGATTAAGAAACTCACTTGAAGAGGAGTCGAGTCATTGCCTTGGATTCAACAAAAGACGAAGCATGCTATAAGATGTCAGCTATAACAATGCTCCATTTGGAAATAAATTCCAGCCCTAAAAAAAACTGAGATGAATTCTGCAACATGAATTCTTAAAAAAACGTTGCTGAATGGCCTTCTTTTCAGAAAACTAAGCAAATGACTGGTTGGACGAATTTTTACTCTTTTAATGTTATTCACCATCAGTTGTTGGAATCGAGTCCAAAATACTTCCAGGAAGTTGAACAGATGCCACAACATTAACATCAGCTGGGATGTCATCATCAAATGTCTGTACGTCAGTACCGACGAGTGACCCCTCCTCTGAAGACCCTTGTCCAGGTTTTAGTACGGACGCAAAGCTGAATCCATCACGATTCTCCTCTGGATCAAGACTGACCGCTTCCACGTGGATGGTTTCCTGCCGTATGCTGACCTTACCTTCCTCCTGAAGCGTCAACGCAACTTGGGTCTCGACAGAACGAACGATTTCTGATGAGGATCTGGCGGAATCTGGAGCATCGGGTTCTACCCCTTCATTTATGACATTGTTGACGGTTTCAAGTACCAGCTTTGTAACCTTGATGGATGATAACCACATACATAATACCAATGTCACTCTGTCTTCAGAATATGTTCTAGCAACGACTACAGTTAACTTTAGTTTGACTGACACCTCCCGAATGATAGATGGTTTGGACAATTTAGTCGACCATTTGGGACCAGGCACAGGGGTATGGTCGCACCGCTGGTTATCAGTAAACAATTTCAAATATTATAAGATCGTTGAATGTAACTGATTACTGGTTAAACTATAGTTCGCATCTAAACTTGCCCGTACATGCCAGTTGGATCATGCTCTCCAAATAAATTTTAACTCCACTATTGACAAAACAAAACAGAATTATGCACGAGTTATTGAAGAAATTTTTGTTAAAAAAAAGACTGACTTTCACCAAAACAGACCTCTCTTAGATGAGAATTTTCATGGTTGTTGACTACACAGATTTATGTCCTACCTCTGTGTCGCCAGATCCCGCCTGAACGATATTCATCAAAATATCTGAAACCACCTCTACATCTTGTGCATCACCTGACGCCGACTCTGAAGTCTGATTGGCTAGAAACTCAGCCACTTCAACTACATTTCCTGTAGTCACTTCAACCTGAAATTAGATGAAATATATGGGATATTAAAGGAATTATTAGATATTTGGCAACTTTGTCGACCTTGAATGAAGGTTTAAAATGTTTCCTTCAATTGCCACATGGAGGAAAGTCCCACGTGCCACCAAGTATCAATGCTAACCAGGACAATTGTATTTCCGCAAGGAAAGATTATTTTGAGTGGGGATATGGCCTCTATTGACGGGCACAGGAGGTTTTATGGTCAGTGGTCAGGGTGATCACTTGTAACTTATAGAGTAGATGGTGTTGGTGTTATTTCAAAATACCACTATAACATCCTCAAGAGTGACATCAGTCCTTTTTTCGCCACAGCTTCGATGCTCAGGTTCCTCCCACTTGAAATAGACAGGAGCTTGTGCGATTGAACAGTTCCTAACAGCAAGAGGCTCACCAGCTGCAAGTAATGCAGGTGATTCAATTAATTAATTGCAGGTGAAAATCCTCAGAAGATTAAACTATTAATATAAATGATCGCACTGATCTTAGATGTTCCTAAAATGTTCCTACCATTCATTGTCATCAGGGGGCATCTTTCGATGGACTCCGCTACTGACCCCACTGGCGCCGCTGGCCATGTGAGATCACCAACAGTCTCCGAAGCACATTGAGCTACATTCACGACACAAAACAAATTCAACTTAAAAGTTACACCAATATTCTCCTCTTCGGAAGATGTGCTCAAGTTTGTAAATACACACCTAAACAAGGCTGTAAAATTACAAAAAAAATTTAAAATGTGGCTATGTTGCCACGTGCACGTAAACGATAACAATAGATTATTATAATGAAACGTTTGTGATAATGATAATAGTGTTGTTCATTTCTTTCCCAAGGAGACTTTCAGGCTGATTCAAAATGCAGCAAAAAATCACAAAGGGAAGGGTTCCTGGTTTCAAATACTTTGTCAAGGACATAAAAACAAAAAGTACAACCATTCAAAAGACGTTTTGATCGACAGTTATACATGATATGTCATGACAAATGTTCTACAACTACTTGATTAAACTGCTCACCTTCAACCGTCACAATGAATTCGCACTCCAACGCCAGGCTGAACCTTGTAGAGGACAACTTGTAGTTTACAGCGGTAGTTCCAATCGGAAATAGAGCACCAGAACTGACATTTGACATGATATTTACTGGTCCAACCCAACCAATAAGAACTGGTTCTAACCAGTTGATATTGGCACTTGTAGAACCAGGATTGGCCAAGACTGTGATGTTAGGAGGACAGACAACAGCTGCGACTGTGGATTGACAACAGAGTACAGTAATTAACCAATGAGCATCATATTAAATAAATGGTTATCAGAACTTGAAATTTAAATGAACAAAGCTTGTTAAACACACCTGTGACTGTAACAGAAAACTGGCAAATGTTCTCATTTCCAGACTTGTCTCTTCCTTTGTACATCACCACTGTAACCCCCGCAGAGAAAGTGCCAGAACCAGCTTGGTCACACTGGAGATGTGATGAACCGTGACAAGAATGTGTTACTTCAACGTCAGCGTCTGAATTATCGAGGAATGTTGGAGGAGTCCAGCTGTAAGACACCCGATCAGTCGACGGCAGGATTGGTAAAGTAACGTAATCTGGACAGTTGTTGATCTGTGGAGGCTCCTTATCTGGATTAAGATGAAAGAATACTGCGAATGACAGGATATTAATGATCGAAACACAGTTTTGATGCATCCGTATGCTGTGACGTGTTTTGCTTCAAAACTTTTACAAACATTTAAGAAACCAGTTCCCCCAAACTGTGGGTATTTTAGTTTGATAATCAGCCTGAGTATCGAAAAAATTAATTCTCCTCTGGAATCATCGTCAAGAAACTATAGGCCTATCATCCTGCCCAAGTGTCTAATGAAGCCAAATGGTTCCATCGCACAGCTCTATTGTAAATGGAGTTTACTGACCTACAATGATGATGTACATGCCACAGGTTGCTCTGTTGTAAGATTCATCGGTTGCAGTGTAATGCCATAAATGTGGAGACCTTGACAAACTCAAGGTAACTTCATCACCGACGTCAGAACTGTAGTAATAATATTGTGAGCCATCTAGGGTAGCGGTTATCTTGACCACACCGGAATTGTCCGAAGCGGATATAACATCAGGAAGGGTGACAGTGGCAAGATTCTGGCCGTGGTGAGTCTGAACTGTCACATTTGTGGGACAGGTTATGTTGGGGAGTTCATTGTCTGTCCAGAGAAAAAAATGGAAAACGTGGCACAGAGGCAATGAGCAGTTGGTAGTGATTGCGGGCTGATTCCATAGGGCACTTTTACTAAACAGCGCTGTAAGCATTGTGCGAACAGTGGAAATGTTTATCACCAGTGAAGTAGAATTTTGATGCCTTCCTGATTGATATGCACAATTTTTGGATCATTCAGCCAAATTATTTTTGTACATGTTGAGTTAGACTAGGCCTACTGGTTCTCAACGCTGAACACAGCATCATCAATGGACGATGACCGTTAAAAAAAGTTAGGCTATAATTATCTGCAGCTGAAGTATTTTCTATGTGTTAGTTGAATAGACTTGTTTAAATTGTTCAAGGGTATTTCCAATGTTTGTAAACCGGAACATCTCTTTACATATAATATTTGAAGTGGCAAAGTGGCGCTGGGAAAGGGTTGCACATTTCAATGCATGTAGCCTTCACTGTCGTATATGGACTAAAACAATCCAGCGATCAGATAGAATTGGAAGCCGTTGCTGTGCAGTCTTCCTGTTTGCACACAGAGGGTTTACGTTTATACGTTTATGACCAGTTGGGTGCAGTGACTTGCTATACTACACATGCACTCACAAACCCAGGGCGTTTCCAGGGATTTGCCTACATTGTGGTATGTGATAGGTTTTTGTGCGCTAACCTTGCAGAGGTAAAGTGAAATTCACTGCTGTATTGCATGTTACTCCAGCATCGTAGTAATGATTATAGTAGCCAAAAAACCATCCACTATGTCTACACGTTTCAATGCTCGACTCGTTTCCCACACAATCAACATTCCTCAGGAGCACCAGCCCTGTTCCTCGGCCAAAGTAAGCATAACGCCGAGCCTGAGATGCTGATGGATAGCCGAGCTGACGACACACAACGTTGGCATCCCTGATGTCCCAGCCAGGGTCATAAATTGTCCCCCAAAAGCAGTCATGGTACACTTCAACTGTGCCTTCATTAGGAGTGCGCCCATAAACAAGACGAATCGTGGCTAATGAAAAGTAAGAACAAAAATAATGGCATTGTTATTATTATTACTGGATTAATGACATTATTGACTCTCAAAATGCGAAAAGTTTTTAATGTACAGGGTGTCCCTGAACAAAGCAAATACAAGTTGGGGAGTAAATTACTGAACAATCATAGTAATTATATTTTCGAAAATGTACAAATCACTGGAAAACTCGTTTCTCCTCTTTAATTTTCGACACCATTAAATGACGGCAGGGTCACACATAACTGAATGGGGCAATTTGTATTCAATATGGCACACTGACATAAGTTGAAAGCAAATGAGGTAGTTACTGTATGCACACATTAAAGTGTAGAATATGGTCACAGTTACGCAAATTAATTCATTTTAGCATTATTTATCCCATCTCTTTCATGAGAGTCATATCTCTATAATTAAGTGCTTGTCAATACAGATAAAGCTCGTCCTTCCACAAGTCCATTATTTTGTCCACAGAAGCCCCTGTGACCTTGTTCTCATGGCTTTGATTGCACAATGAGATCCCTTCTCTGCTGCCGCAGGGCTAGTTATGTCACTTAATGCCCATCTTTTAAAAATCTTATTATGAACCCAATGTAGCACCATCCATTTATTTTAAATAGTTGGGTCTGTTAGTTGTACTTCAGATTGTATATAATTTGTCATGCGTGTGATTCATCATGTTTCTGGTGTCACATTCTATTTGAAGAAAATGGTTAATTATTGAGTATTTTACCCTAAATTTTGGGTTTTCTTTTTCTGGGAACACCTTGTGTATACACTTTAAACAGCTGTGTAAGAAATGCTAACAAAACTTGTTACTAGGAAATGTTACTGTTTTGTGGTTTGTTATTAAAAAAATGGCTATATTCAATAAGAAAGTCTAAAGTTTATCTATCTTTGATAAAAATCTGTTAAGGTAAAGCGATACAGTATTTTAGTCAGAATGTAACTTTATGGATGAGTTAGTGACTTCTGTGTCACTGCTATTTACTTACTAGACGGAGCAGGATTGGTGTAATTCTCTCCACACGTTACTCCAGCATCTTCACCATAACTGCAGCTTTGATTAAACCATCTGCTGCGATTACACTGCTCAATATTTGATTCACTGCCATTGCATGCTACACCACCCAGGAGAACTGGTCCTAAACCCTGACCAAATTCCGAATTCTGCCAAGCCTTAGATGCAGGAGGATAACCCAGCTGACGGCAGATGACATTGGCGTCCTCAATGCTCCAACCATTACCACAGATCGTACCCCACTGGCCCGCATAGTACACCTCAACTCGGCCTTCATAGGGGGTGCTACCATTGACAAGACGTACCACTATTGAATTCAAGAAAATTTGCATTAGTCAAATTCAACATCAGTTCACATACAAACGGCATTTATGGATAAATGAGTTTATAGTGTTGTGAAAACTGTGTCTCCTCAAATGGAGATTTAAAATATCATATGTCTTCCTCTGGTCAGCGTAACAACTCGACTAGTTTTGTACAGAATTTATCTTATAGGCCTAACATAATCGAAAGAAGACAGTAGAAGAAAATAATCCGTCAACAGAGTTAACAAACCAATCAATAATCTTCAAAATTTAATAATGGAAAAAGAAGCCAACTAGGAAATGGCAGGTAATTTATGTGAGTCCTTTGTGTACCTGATACAGCAGTTGAAACATTACAAGTAACGCCTACATCATAGTAGTGGTTCGAGCAATAATGACTTAACCAGCCGGAGTGATCACATTGGTCAACAGTTTGCTCATGACCATCACATTCTACATTACTCAGGAAAATTGGTCCGGACCCTTGACCAAACTGTGCTCTCCTCCAAGCGTTGGCGGCAGAGGGGTAACCAAGCTGTCGACAGACAACGTTGGCCTCTACAATATCCCAGTCATTGTAATTACAGATTGTACTCCATTGGCATTTGTAATAGATTTCTACTCTGCCTTCATGGGGGGTGTTTCCATCAACAAGACGAACAGCAGCTGCAAATAGAAAGCAAAAATATAAATTTCCAAATAAACACTGTTTATGCGATACTTTACTTACAAAATCACCATGACGCTTTCTTTACAGATGAAGAGTCCTTATAAGGTAATTTGCATTGAAAAGCGGTAACAGAAGATGTAATGAAATAGTAAAGAGCAACTATATGGAAAACACGTTTTTTCTGATTTCATCTGTTCAAATAAATATGGAGAAAACGAGGGGAACCCTCGCCCTATGTTCATAGTGGATAGACCCTTGCCAAACAATGCATGTAGCCATTGTTGTTTGCAGCCATTGTCTGGCATGCACCGGGTTTATCTGCTACGAATACACGGCGAGGGTTCCCCTCTTTTTTTCTGTTTTCTCCCAATGCAATCTACATTCAAAATTTTCATCTTAGCATGATCAGAAAAAAAAAACTTTTTAACTTGCTATAGTTGAGCTTTGCAGACAAATGACACTGCTTTCGATTTGGATGCTTCCATATTTATTTGAACAGATAAAAGCAGAGAAAACGTGTTTTTTTCTTATAGGTGCTCTTTAAACACAGTTCCCTATGTGAGTGACCCTAGTACAGGTGGAAGCCTGATAAAGTGGAAGTTATCGTGCTTATACTTTTGCGATTGCAATAATTAAAAAAAAAGTTTGCAGAGTATATATGAAACTTTTACCTCTTTCGGCAATGTCCTTCCTACATACAACTTTGCCACAAACTTATAATTCAATTTGTTTTGAGCACAGGCCCGTAGGCGGGGGGTGCTACCCCCCCCCTTGCTTCTGAGTTCCGCTTGTTGGAGGTCCTTTTTGTTTTGTGTACTGTATATTTTAAATTGACCGTAATATTTGGCACAGGGGGCCTACAAGCTACGGCTTATACGTTGATTCTCGAGCTCAAGGTGACCACGACTTTGCATATTAATGAATAAATCTCCGGTCATATGTACCGTCACGAAGTTCCGGCAAATATCCACATTTCAGGTGTTTCAAAGGGTTTGAAATCAGTGTGTTTTTGTCACGTTTATTCAATATTGAAAACTACAGTGTACAAATCTTACATGCAACCTTTGGTTCGCGACATGCATGTAACTTTTCAATGTTGTTTTCCAAAGCACTTTTTGGTATGACAACCCCCCTCCAGTCTCTGGTCAGGCAACGGGCCTGGAGTAACCCATCCCAATTCAACTGAGTGGCCAAGGAATGCATACATAGATTCATGACTTGAATACCTTCTGGTATCTGCAAGAGCCAAATAGGTAGTTTGCTCCAGTGAGCTTGGCACGGTATGAGAAAGGTACATTTAGAAGTACTGTATAGAAAACATCAAAATTTAGATTCGTACGAGAGCAATTCTGAGCTTGCTAGAATTGCCCACTGTGTGCATTTGGGTAGCCTAGACAAAGTTGTAGAAATACATGAACATCATGTATGATAATGGCTTGTTCAATGTTAAGTTCTGCCCCAAAATGTCCATTTACCCAACGAATTTTCGAAGAGGGGCGTAGTTTCATGTCCTTTTGTAGTACATTGAAAGAGGTCTTTTCACTACACGCCGGGGACATTAATACCTGAAAAGAGACCAAGAAAAGATAAGTTTTTCGGCAGGATTAACGATATCAGCATTATTAAAAAATCTCCCTTACTTGGCAGAGGTGATGTAGGATTACAAGATACGCCGACGTGGTTGGAGTAGTAGTAGTAGTAGTAGTAGTAGTGATAGTTGTAGTAGTTGACGTTGGATGTAATTTCAGAATGATTACATTTCTGGATGCCTGATTCATTTCCATGACATGACACTCCACTGAGTGTCAACGGCCCTGTTCCTTGACCAAAGTGATTGTACCACCATGCCTGAGAGGCTGATGGGTAACCAAGCTGACGACAAACAACGTTAGCCTCCCGAATGCTCCAGTAGTTGCTGTTGACTGTACCCCACTGGCATGGACCATATACCTCCACTCGACCTTCATATGGTGTACTACCACCAACTAACCGAACTGGAACTAACACAAGGATATAAAGATATAGAAACGTATGACTCCTGCAAATCCGCAATTATGGCACATTACAAATATATTTAGTCCAACCAGCACCTGGTCATTAGGTTAACTCTGATGTGATGCGGTCGTCAGTTTGTCAGAGCTATCGACCCTGATCCAAATCCTGATCTAGATCCAAGGCAAACTAAATTCATTTACATGTACGTTCAAAGGATGACTTTCCTGAAGCTCTATAAATTAACCTCGTCTAACAATTGATTTTATTTGGAAAAAAACATCTTCATTAAAAAATGTGATGGCATGATTTTAATCTAACAAAGTTTAGATATCACGCAGATAATGGGCCAAACATAGCAAAGGTGAAAACAAACAATGTTGAAAAAATTAAGAAGTTGCGCTTTCTTCAGCCATTCTGGGTCACGATTACTCGGCATTATTTCCTTAGGTCAGTCAACATCTCTTATTTCTGTCTGTCCATTACACACATCATTTGAGGAAGCCTGACTAAAGTTATTAACTGTAATTTGGGCAATTTCAAGCACATAGTTCAATTACTAAGGCGTTGCTTTTCACGCAGCACAGTCCCAGTGATCATTTTTGAAAATCTCCCCACACTAGAATGTTCGCATTGGTTCGCTCTGTCACACGTGAGGAAATACTGTTTATGTTTAAGCATTCAGAATACCCTATTTCATTAAAGATTTGAAGGAAGCGAACAAATCCAGCATAACATAATGTATTAACCTTGTGGAGCCTTTTTGATGCCAAGTTCTTCCCCACAAGTGACTCCAGCAACTTCACCTGTTACGTAGCTCTGATGAAGCCATCCAGTATGATCACACTGCTCAATGTTTGACTCACTGCCATTACATGCCACACCATGCAGGAGAATTGGCACTGATCCCTGACCAAACTCAGAATTCTGCCAAGCTCTTGACGCAGACGGCAAACCAAGTTGTCGGCAGATGACATTGGCATCTTCAATGCTCCAACCATTGCCAGAGATTGTACCCCATTGGCCTGCATAGTACACCTCAACTCTGCCTTCATAGGGGGTGCTACCATTCACTAAGTTCACTGCAACTAGAAAAAAATTAATTCACAGGGGAGTGTTAAGACAACTTTGCTATTGTAAAGCTCACTTGGAACACAAAAGATGGCAAATTCTATTAAGGAAACTTATCTCAACACTACCCAACTAACTGTTCCAGCAAAACTTTCCTTTACGTCAAAACAATCCTAGCACACGATGAATGAAAGATAAAATTTATAACTTGGCTGAAAAATTAGCAACAGTTTCATAGCAGGTCGGTGAAACATATGTGTCAGCGTAAGTTTAGTGTCATCAGGGGGTATTTCTCCTTTTTAAGTGCTGTACCCTTCTAAATATGAGTATCCTTTTAAGCATTAAATATAATTTCATCGCAAACCCACTTTCGAGTAAAGTAACCCTTCAAAGTATATTTATGAACTCACCAGGTAGAAAGGTCGAAGTATTGCATTTCACACCAACATCATAGTTATGATCATAATTACTCCAAAAGAAGTTTCCCCGATCACAATCGTCTACTCCTGCCTCATCACCATCACAAATAAGAAAGTCAAGGATAACATATCCTGACCCTTCACCGAAATGAGCACGAGGCAAAGCCTCAGCAGCAGACAGGTATCCCAGCTGTCGACAGATGACGTTGGCATCTTCAATGGTCCAATCGGGATCACTGACTGTACCCCAAAAGCATCGATGGTATAACTCCACTCTGCCTTCGTAAGGTGTGCTACCATTGACAAGACGCACTAAAACTGTGAAAAACATATCAACAGACCTAGAAAATCATTTTGGTACGCTACCAGAAAATAAAAGCGATCAATGTTAGTACAATTGTACATAAGAAGTCGTGTATCTTTTTATCTAACTGTTATAGAAAATTGTTAACATCTTCTGACAACAGGTTTATTTTTTGCCTTCTCTGGGCAACCCGTGCCAATAAGGATTCTTGTTTTTTTTATATTCAGAGATGTAAATGAAATAACAACTTGAAGCATTCATAAAGATCCCAAATTGAGTCTAAGTTTAACACTTACGCAGTTCGGCAAGTTTAGGCCGAACCCGAATACAAATTTGACCAAAGCCCAAAGCAGGATGAACACTAAGAAACATTGATTGGAACATGCCATAACGCCTTTAAAAAGAACCAGTGTTCATAAAATCTGTTTAGTAGTGGTAGCCTGGCTTTAGGGGTCCCTTCCCGTTGGCACAAAACAATTAGTACATGTAATGTATTAATTTGTATGTATTGATAACCTCACATTGTGCTATTATGTTCACGTCCAATGGAGACTGTCAGGGCCCATAGTCTGTCGAGCACCATGGGAAGCAGTCACGGAAACAAAGAGAAGCATCATCAGACCATTTCCTTACCAGGTGAAGGAGAAATGACATCACACGACACTCCAACAACTTGGTAATAGTAACAGTTGGGACTCAACCATTCACCATGATCACACTGGTCGATGTTTGTCTCATTTCCTTGGCATTCAACATTGCCCAGCAGAATCACTTCGGACCCTCGACCGAAGTATACACTATTCCAAGCTTGAGATGCAGACGGGTAGCCAAGCTGCCGACAAACGACATTTGCCTCCTCGATTCTCCAGTTATCGCTACACATCCCTCCAGTTTGATTCCCATAAGTCACCTCCACATTACCCTCGTTAGGAGTATCGCCTTGAACAAGACGCATAGTTACTACACAAAATTGATTGATAGGAAACAGAAGGGAAAGGTCAAGAAAACATGTTACCATCCACGAATTACTGTTTTGGTCAATGTCTAAAAATCAAGCAACCGAATGTACCATATATGGGAAAAACTGAGCAAAAATATGTTACTTTAATCATCATTATTTTGCATGACTTTACCGGCTATTATTTTTACTCACACAGTCGTCTGGCAATTTCCTAGTTTACCCCATATCCTACTTAATAGGATTTCCTATTGCCGTGGTCTTATAGACCATGGCAAACAATCCTAACCCCCTGGGTTTGTGTAAAATTGTATTGAAACTGAAGGATTCAGGATTGTTAGGGATATCACCAGGTCTTATTGACCGTTGTCCATTCTGATGTTAAATGATCTCCGTCTAAAAGCATGCTGCTGTGAAGAAACCTCAATGTGAAGATATTTCCACTATATGCACTTGCAGAAAAAGGGAAATTCTTACTGGTCTGTTCGGACGTTTCACAGTAGCGCGCCTCTAAGAGTGGGCAACGCGTTGACCAATCACAGAGCGCAATTCAAAGCGCGTTTGTAAAGGATTGACAGCTTTAGCGCACTCTGATTGGTCAAGGCGTTGTAAACATTTGGAGGCGCACTATTGTGAATCGCTCGTATTTCACAGAGAAAGAGGGACATAACTTTACCAAACTGAACACTTCACCACATTTTTATTCTGTGCCAGTTTTCCGGCAGTGACACCTACCGGTATACTACTTCAATGAAAGAAAATAGTTAAGATAATTGCGTGACTTGTTACCAATGCGTCACACACGTACATGCACGAAGAAAGCTTCGAGCATAAAATAATAATACAGAGATTTCCTTTAATGAAAAGTTCAGTTTCTTTATGGAATTTTAAACATACTCGGGGAGCAGTCCATGCCACCGTATCCCACAGCACAGTCACATATGAATGAATCAATGCTATCAGTGCAGGTCCCTCCATTCAGACAGGGGTTAGAAGAACAGTCATCAAAATCTGTTGATAAAGCAGTAAGAAAATATTGGAAACAACAAATTGGATATCGGATAACATTCCAAATTCACTTTACTCTGATTCTAACACTGAGATAACGTGTTCTTGGGAAAAGTTGTAACTTACTCATGGAACAGTTTCTTCCTTCAAATCCTGCTGCACACTCGCATCTGAAGAAATCCACACCATCCAGGCAAGTTCCTCCGTTCAGACAACGATAAGGACAGTCATGAATGTCTGCCAAAACAGGGATCAGGAAAAAACTGCTGTTAAAAAGTTTAATTCTTGAAATAAAACTGTAATTCATAAAATAAATGACTCAAAGTCAGGGTATTAAAGCACCTTTCTATTATCAGTGGAAATAATGTTATTAGAAACGTCACTTTTCCAAATTAACATAGACCTAATGATGATCTCTGAACAGTACTTGCATATCAAACAGGAAAAAGCTAAAACGTACCTATGGAACAGTCTGCCCCTTCATAACCTGCAACACAAGTACAAGTGTAGCCATTCACACCATCTGCACAATTTCCTCCATTCTCACAGGGATTGGAAGCACACTCATAAGTATCTATCATCCAAAAGACACAAAAGATTGCAATCATCTAGTCCAACGTCTTCGACTTTCAACAAACACAATATTTACACATCTCAATCAATACGTCTGAAGTAACGATCTCTTCCCAAAAAGTTCAACTTACCTGTGCCACAATCGACCCCTTCATAACCTGCAACACAAGTACAAGTGTAGCCATTCACACCATCTGCACAAGTTCCTCCATTCTGACAGGGAGTGGAAGCACACTCATCAGTATCTGCCGAGGAAAGGAAATGAAAATATCATATCATCATCTGGAAATCAATCCGTAATTAGACAAATGTTTGGAAACCCACCCATTAATCTGGGCACATTTCTGAGCAGAAATTGGCTGAAAACAAATAAATAATGGCAGGCAGAGAAACCGGAATAAACAGTGATCACTGGTAGAGGAAGATACGCAATTCATTGAAAGACCGGATTATTTGCAACAACTGCATGACCATTAACTCTGTAATGGAAATGATAAACTCTATTTTTTGATTACATAATACATCGATTGCTGTGACTTGTCAAGAAAAGACCTTGCTTTTAATTTTCTGCTGCATTAGAACATAATCCTTTTGATTTTCTCTTGCAGAATTCAGCAGATTTAGCTCAACATCTTGTAAGCACGAGAGAGGTTCTGAAGGAAAAACTTATTCAGTTCCATCAAGGGCGAATTTGAAATGCTCAATTCAGTTGTACAGGGTATTGTCTTTTTCGAGAGCGCCATGATGCCATTTTAGTTTCAAATGTAACACAAAGTCGCAAAGAAAGTTCAGCTGTGCTAATGTATTCTTGTGGGGATTCCGTTGTCCCTGTCAACTGATCTGTGCAAAATATTCATAAATTAAAATAATTTGCCATTAAGAAGTTAGAATAACAGTTTTGTTAATACAGTCATGCATATTGAATTGCAAAATCAGCAAAATTTGTAGGTTTATGCCAACTTCATGGTTTAAACAATACCAGATCCACCTTCCACCATATTGTGTTTTTTGGGGGTGTACTTTTTTTATTCCTATTTCTTTTGCTACTCTCAACTGGCTATTGAAAGAAAGGAAAATATGTCCCGGCCGCTCGTTTGTTCGCGTTTCGCTTCCACGACCTACACTGCATCGAGAGGATGCAGTGTACATGTAGTTTCTATCAGTCGTGTACGGAGGATCTAATTGAAGGATAAACAATTTAAGCCACTCAGTAAATGTTAGGGCTAAAGAGTTAAAATATTTAAATTCTTTTGCATTCAACATAATTATGCTCTTACAGGGTCATTCTTGTGGGGTCTGATCTATGGACCACACTGAAGTTAATGTTGAAGTAACAGCTACTTTAAGAACTTAACATTAACCAAGCACTATACTTACCATGGAATTCTGGTGTCGTAACGTCGTTAGAGGATGGAGTGTATGTTTCATCGGTCGTGTACAGAGGATCTAATGGCAGGATAAAAAAAGGTTATCTGCTAAGTAAATGTTTTCTTCGAAGGATATAGAGGTAAAATAATTATTTTTGTCATTCAGCACCTGCTCTTAGAGTGTTATTTCCGTGGGGATCTGATGTATGTCATATGCCCACATTTCTCTTTAGCTGCAGTTCGATGCATGGGGAATACAGATACTTTAAGATATTGTGTCTTGGGTGTCTCACAAAATGTTGTTGATGCTAACATTTCAGCCACTTTCAAGCAGAAAATCTTGTGAAGATTTTCCGTGTTAACATCAGAGGTGCCTTGGGGCAATGGCAACCTTTTATCAGCGTCGCTCAAACGACACATTCACAGCACGAATTGAGTAGCATTTATCTCAACTTCCATTTTCATTTTAATTAAGCAATGCAAAAGTTGATTTGACATCACTGATAGAACAAGGCAAGGGCTCTGAAAAGAAAAACATAATGTGCTATGCTAATATATAGAATATACATATATGGAAATATTATTTAAACAGTGGGGTTTATTTAGATTTAAGCCTACTTGGGCTGTTTTCCAATACTCAACTTTGTCTGCGTCTCGGGCTTCGTGTACGAAGCCAATCCCTGTTTGTGGGCCTGAAGCGTTTAACTTAAATGAAAGTACTGTTATGTTTGGCTCTTTTGCATCTAAATTGATGTTTTGTGGTACTATAGTGCCACAAAACATGGTACACTTTCAGACCCACTATTGGCGCTTACAACTTCAAAATCAGGGGCCTGAGACGGTGCCCAAGTCGAGTATTGGAAAACGATCCACGTTTGAGATTTGAGCTGATAATATATCTTTTTGTATTGGTATTCAAGGGGGGGTAGCAGAGAGAGGGGGCTGTCTCTGAAAGAGATATATTGATATCCTGAAAACTTTTCACCTATACTGTTACTATCCTACCAGCCCAACATCACCCAAGCACTGTACTTACCACCATGTATTGATGTCATGGAATCGGGAGAATATGTAGTGTAGGGTCCATCGGTCGTAGACGGAGGATCTATTTGAAGGATAAACATTTTAAGTCACTCAGTAAATGTTTTCTGCTGGGAGATGGTGTGACACAAGTAAATCATTGTATTCGTGTAATGTGTCATCTTCCGGACAGACATAGGATAACGAGTTGAAATCTTTTGCATTCAGCATATGCTCTTACGGTGTCATTCACGTGGAATCTGATCTATGGACCACATCGAGGTTAATGTTGATGTACTATGAACTCAACATCACCCAGGCACTATACTTACCATCAGAGTATGGTGACGTCAAGTCGATAGAGAACGTAGTGTATGTTTCCTCGGTCGGGTACCAAGGATCTAATTGAAAAAGAAGAAAGAGGTTCTCCGATACGTGAATGTTTTCTTCCAAGGATAAAGAGTTAAAATGTTTTAAGTTCTGCATTCAACAGCTGCTCTTTCCATGGAGCTATGCTCTTACAATGTCATTCACTTGGGAATCTTATCTCTGCAGGAAACAACCACATCGTCAGTGATTGTGCGTTCGCAGGCAGGCCTACGTAGCCAAGCTACGTACGGTTCGTGAGGTATTGATCATGTTAATTAATGTACTGTTCTTCAGGAACTCAACATCACCGTGAAATCGTTAGAGGATGGAGTGTATGTTTCATCAGTCGTGTATAGAGGATCTAGTTCAAGGGGGAAAGGGTTAACTGGTAAGTGAATATTTTCTTCGAAGGATAAAGAGGTAAAACACTTTTTTGTCATTCAGCATCGGCTCTTAGAGTGTTAATTATTTTAAGCAATGCAAAAGTTGATTTGATATCACTGATAGAACAAGGCGAAGGCTCCGAAAAGAAATACATAATGTGCTATGCTAAGTCTGAATCATTATGACCGGATTTCAACAAGGAAGACTCTAGTGTGATCCAAATGAAGAAAGGAGAAGAACTGAGACAAGAAAGAGTAGCGCACGTGATGTGAGGATGTTCCTGGTCATCGTAGAGGCGGGCCCTTAAGTTCAGGCTTTATACTTTTTAAAAGCGGAGTAAGACACGGTCTGCATTTCCCACTTTCCATTAAGGTTGTGAGCTCATACATCGTATGAGTCAATCTCTCATGCAGTGATAGCATCCTTACAATGAAAGAATAACATAAAATATGAGACTGCATCAGATTCACTAAATCTTGAGCATCTTCGAATGAATCCCCCAAGTAGTTGTTCCTTTCTTACCACAGTTGAGTTCATCACTTCCGTCGAGGCAGTCAACATAACCATCACATTGCCAAGAGTCAAAGATACATGTTGCATCGCCACAAGTGAAATGACTTCCAGCACATGTCACATATTCTACAGAAGAAAACGATTAACGTGACAGCTTTGTGTTTTGTGATTTACCATTCATATAACAAGAGACGGGCGGTGGGATTTTGTAGTGTCAATTGCTTACACTCAATAGCTGAAACTACAATCTTGTAAATGATATTGCAGTCAATCGTAAAAGACCTTGACGTGTTGTTGATTTTAGACTGCTCACAAAGACAATGAGGTTGAGTTTCTGTTGCATATTGGCAGCCCGTGGACTGAGCTACATTCTTGACCAATGGCTCCACACTTACCTTCAGTGGTTGCGTCGGGGGAGAACGTTGTGGAAATAGTAGAGGTCACATATGGTGTCCCTAATAAAGAAGAGAAGAGATTGTTGTTTTGGTCAAAACTATGGGCATCATTGGTGGGACAGGGAGTGTCCACGAAGTGGGGAAGGGGTATCGTATCGTTTGTCCCTCTTCTTAACCTGGCCCCAAAATAAAATTGCAGGCCTACATATTGGTTCTATATAGCTCATAATATCGATAAACGGTCAGCACTGGTTGATATTAGCGATTTTGGCGTTGATAAGATTGACTTGGTACTCAATAACGAAGTGAATGTATTGGCCGGCATTGTTATTCTTCGACAGCAATCAAATTGATTAGGTATGATGATCACCGGTTGACATTAGCGATTATTTTTTCCTTCACAGGTTGCATGCAAACATTATATGTAGTCTACATCGGGAAAACATCACAGCCTTAGTTCTGTTCTTTATAACAGGTTCTTAAGAGATCAAGACATGGCTGATGGGATTCAGTGTGTGCAGTTAATTATCTCAGTAATTGAAACTGCAATCTTGTGAATAATTCCTTTGGCCTGTTGGAATTATAAATCTTAACAGAGATTTACAAAATACATTAATGATGATACTAATAACAGTGCAGATTTGTAGCGCACCCATACCACCAATTCTGATGCTCATGGCGGTACCAAAAGAATTGTTGATTTGAAAATGCTGTTGAGTGTGAGTTATACATGTGTGTTAGAAGATTTTGCTTTAACACGACCGAAGCATTTATAAAAATGTGGTACACTTCGACTTCCACTGAATTTGCTCATGTTCCTCAAACAGTGCTGCCCAACCTCTTGTTGAAAATACGTCAAATTACTTGATTATATACTGTATATCTTTAATTACACATGCCGTTGCACCTTGATGAGCAATGTCAGTGTCATTAACTTTCATCGAAAATAACGGCTACATCTGGAAATTGGGTAAAAATTCAGCAGGATGGTCCCTAACGTCAGTAGAGGTGCACGGCATCGTAACTCGGATGCTCTCCTGAAACCCCCACAAGTCTCCTTCCTTGGGGAAGAAATCAGTCCCTCAATAGAGAGACTCTTGGTCTCCCAAAACAGGTACATCTTTTTCAAGTGGGTTTGGGGCTCGTACCATAAACATCCAAGGCTGCAATTTTAAATTATTCTACCTTTTACTTTTAGGATTACAAGCAGGAGTCTATGGCATGGAGGATGGGTAAGAGACCGTTAATACCGCTCCTTTTCATTCATATACACACGTACAGTAAAAAAAAAAAAAAACAGGCTAAACTTATTAATTATAACGTGGGGTTTATTTGGATCCAAGCCCACTTGGAAAATAAGGGGACTGACTTTATCTCCGAATAAAGGGACTCGTCTGTATTGAAGGACAGTCTCTGAGAAACTTCTGACGTGTGCCTCTAATGAATGTGACGCCGCTTTAAGAATGATAACTTCTAATAAATTATTATCAGGTGTGCTTCAACTTATAAGCATAACCGCTAATGGGTCATTAAGGAGACATTCCCACAAGAACGTACACAAAATTTTACTGTCCAATAATTCAATATTCCCTAGTCTGATCTGAACCAAACTTTGAATGTTTTCATTTTAGACCCTAATCTATCAACTCTCAAAATTTGGACGGTAAAATTAAGACAAACAAATCGAAGTGCTCCACGTTAAGGGATGTTGTTGTGTGTTATCAACACGCGAGAGGGCGCTCACAAGACGAAAAGCTGGAAGTGCATGACGTCACTTCTGAAAGCTCACGCGCTGCATCCAAAACCCCCTAGGAACTAACACAAATGCAAACAACACGTGGGTGCTGGCACACGTCCAGTGGTATACCATGGAGGTAGAGCCATGTCAGCACACGGTGGTCGCTAAATCCGTTTATTTTTGCGACTTTGTGCATCATATCAAGACAACACGTGAGAAATTAGTGTCTGAGGAATCGCTGGCACACTTACGTGTATGTATTTTATTATTCCACACTAAAGTTATAGGCCTATTTCACACTTCACAAGAATAAAATTCATAGGCCTTGTCCTTAACTTCTTAAGACCACTAGAAAGGAAAAGACGTTACGCCCCAACTTACAGTAAGTCCCAACTAATACTATACTTGGGAAAGTCCCAAGTCTGTAGTGCTGCATTTGGGCTAGCCCAACTATCGTTGACCAATGTCTGTGGAATGTCTCAAGTCAATGTGTCTCACACTTGACACATCTGTTCATCTAGCCCTATGACCAATGACATGACATTTGTAAACAATATGACTTTGGCACATGCTGGGCACGTCATGCACACAGGACCTCTGCTGTAGTTTGGCCGGCCCAACTGTAGCACTCTAGTTGGGATGGGCCCAACTATAGTTGGGACTGATGCTATAGTTGGGGTGTAACGTTGAGTATGAGACTAATCCTAGAACTAGGATCAACACTAGCCATGTTTACAGTAACTCCTGCATACATGTACATAGCCCATTTCTGTGAAAATGACGAGTAACTTTAGTAGGACTGTGCCCACTTACATTTTACACACATCTTGTAAATTGTTTAAATCCCTCCCAAGCAAGTCATTCGTACATTTATGTGTATACTAGAATTTATAAACTTTGAAGAACTTCTTATGTGGGATTTTCAGAGATTTGTTTAAGTGTGCCACAAATAGGGAACACTTAGCTAAATTTGTGCCAATTTCTGGATGCTGTCGTTTTTTAATTTCAGGTTTGTTAGATTTCATGGCACCAAAATTGTTCACAGAGGTGATCAGTGACATGTATTTGAAAGGTTATAATATCATTATTTAGTTTAACTGAATGAATTCAATTTTTTCAGCAAAGAGGTTTGGCGGTGATGCATGAGGAGAGTCGAGGAAACATCGAAGAGTGGCATGTTAGAGACTCAACTTCATTAGGGCCAGGCTAGTGGACTATTCCTCTGAACACATGGCCCTACTCCTAAACTAGAAACAAGTGGAGGAAGGCTTAAACTTTGGGATAAAACTCCCCGGCCGCGAACGGTATCAGCCACATACAGGTATTTCTCAGTTGCCTCTTTAATTCACCCAGCAGTTTATCATGTTCAATTTGCCCAAATGGCAAATTCCTGACCATCATGCCTGTTGGTGAATTATTTGTGATCTCGATAACCATGATTTTGTTACAACTGTGATTTGCTCGAGATCTTCACTGGCAGTGAACATGTACAGCTCCAGACACCAGCAGTTGTGGTAATCTCTGACAACGTTAATTACTGCACACCACATGAGGTGCGTTGAACTAGTATCTATCATGTGTTTGAATGAATCTATTTGTAACATAAGAGTAGCTCCCCTTAGGCTTTCATGCCTATAAAAGTATGTAGTATACCAGTGCAGTCATTGCAAAAGTTTAGGACCACTCAAAAAAAATGCATCAACCCGGAGAAAAACCAAACTTAAACCAATCAATCATGGCAACTTACATTTATTTTCAGTGTGCAACCTTTGTATCTTGGTTAAACAGCTATTTGACTACATTTCCATGATTTGAAATGTTAACGGTCTTATTTTTAGTGTGCCCTCCTTTTTTCTGACTACTTTTTTTACCCATGTTGCCTTACAGACAACATATCGTACAAGATGGCATTTCAGGCAATTCATGGTGGAAGACAGCAATAGGTGGAAAGTCTTGCAGTAGCACCATGCGAAGGAAAATATCTCTTATGAGTATGTGTGGTTCTGAAAGGAACCACGAGTATACTCAATTTTTTGGCCTGTGTGCACTGTCCGTTGTCAGGAGACTGCAGAGATGCTGAAGATGGAGCTGTTTATATAAGGTGACTGGATGCAGGATGCAGTCAACTTACATGTCATATATTGTTCCACATAATGCAGTGTGGTTTTCTGCTCGAGTCCTGTCTGCTAGAGTCAGTGATTGAAGTCTGAGTGTACATGTACATGTATTCTTATAAGTTCTGTTTGACACACTGTGCTGGTGAATACTAAAAAAGCCGGATCATTGTGGACGTTGTGACTTGTCACAGCTGGCACTGTGACTCAGCCATCCCATGCTTCATTTTGTAGAAATTAGGTGCACTCAATCCAACAAATTGTTTTGTTATGATGGTCATTTGAAGTTCAAGACTGCAGCCTGGCTTCATGTACATTGAGCACAGCAGTAAAGAAGTATAAAGTTTGGGCTGATCTGTGATTCCACATTCCCCCCAGCTCTTAATTCTTATCTAATTTTTCAGTTTGGTCATTTTTTTATTTTTCAGTTCGGTCATTTTTTTAAAGGGTTGATCAGGTTTTTGTTTTTTATACTTACATGTAGAATTGGTGTGTGAGTCCATATCGATTCAGTTCCCTGCAACTTTGCCATTGAAGATTCTTCACTTAGTGTGAGTTTCTCTTATTGTAGTGGCTTGCTATTTTTCCAGGTTTGCTTTGAAATAGAATGCACCCTATGCACCTGCATTGCATTGGCACACTATGATGCTGGACACCACTCCTGCATACACACCTAGCAGCTGGCAATCAGGTAAGAGATGACTGGACGATGGAGACATGTAAGTCTAAATATGACATCATGGTCATGCACATGTACATGTAATTGACACCTGCTAACCCTTCTGATTTGATCGCAATTAGGCAGCTGTGGTGGCTTCACCCTCCACCCATGAAAGGGAAAAAAGAGGGGAACAATGTTTTTGAGGAGGGGTCTGTGTGGGGTGGGAAGCAGTGGAAGGTGTTATGTCACTGTGTGTGTGGGGGGGGGGGGAGATAACGTTTCCCCTCCCTTATAGGGTCAGGAACATCAGGCATAAATTGAATAATGTGTCTGCTTCAGCCGAAAATCTTTCATCATTTAAAATAGAGTTGAAGTTACTTAGTGCAGCCATCAAACAAATGTACAGTTCTGTGTTAATTTCTGTCGTCTTAGAGAACTAAATTAAAAACTAAAGAGACTGCACATTGCCGGACAGATGTTATACTCTTTGTAGAGTAATGTAGACATGATGACAAATATTTCTGGCTGGGAGCGTACATGTAACTGACAATAAACCTGTCGTAGTATATAATTTCCCCCAAAATTTGCCGATGAAAGCCACAATTTGGAATCTTTGAATGGTCTTTTGAAGCTCCTTAAAAATAACACAAAAATGAATATTGGTCTTGTAAAAAGAAAATTGTTTATATGGGTGAATTATTTAAATCATTTTATGATTATTTTAATTTCACAGATCAAGCCCCTTATTGTGACACTATCTGCTCTTGGAACATTGATGGAGGTCCAAGCAAGACGGTCAGATTGTGGAATCAAAGAGAAGTTTAATTCAAGGGGTTAAAGGGTTACAGAAAGAGAAAACATTTAGTTCGCAGGAAGTATTTCAAAATATTCCAAACAATTAATGGGGTAAACATTTAATTTCTGATGTTTTGGAAATGGTTATGTATTCATTGTTAGTTTGAAATATTTCACGTGAACTGAATGTTTTTTATTTCTGTAACCCTTAAAAAAATGGTGAAAACTGCATGTATCACTTTGCAAGGACTGACCTTAACCCTAACCTCGCCAGATGCAGCATACTGCAGCACATGTAAAAGTCTGATGCACTATAGCCTTGTTCCCATTGGACTTTATCTTCTGTGGGCTCGCGGAAACTTACTGTGACATTCCTTCATGTCAGTCTACCGCACATTGCCATGTGGACTGTTTTTAACCCAAAGGAATGTTTGTTCTCTGTGTTAGGCCTAATAAGACCAGCTGATTACATTGCCTGCACTGTACAAATCATGTTGAAATTGGCAAAATCTGACAAAAACAAAGATAAAATCAGAGGAATTTGGCCAAATCTGCCACAAAGACAACAAACTCGTACGGGAAAAGCCCCGTACGTCATGTGTGTACAGCTTTATCCGGACACGCTTCACTGTGTGTGCGCAGCATGCTGCTGTACTGTTCACACGGAGCTGGAGACTCGGAACCATACAACCATTTACTCTGTGTATATGTTTAGCGTGGTCACAGTCAATCTACACTGTATAGGAACTGTTCCTATTGGACTTTTTTGCACCTTGCTAACTTACCGTGGCTGCGTGGAAATCTTCTGCGCCCCTTTTTGGCCCGTTAGTTTTACATCGCGATTGCAGTAAGTTGACAGGGACATTGGTTTACCGTTTGTTCCCATTTAATTTTGTAATTCTACAGGAAAGTCACGGTAAGTTAACCACAAAAGTCCAATGGGCACACGCTTTTTGATGCACTGGACAATCAACAGCTGCCAAACAAACTGGTCATGTTGAGACAATGGGAGCTAGTCTCACTGAACACTGCCACTCACGGTTAGATCTTGTGGTGACTGACAACCACAGACGCCCAGGCTGTTTGGCCTTGGGGAGAGCTGACCTGTAGGATCTTGTTACACTGGGCAAGCAAATGACTTTGACAAATGATGCAGACTGATGTGTCTGGCAGGGTTTCTAGCCAAACAACCGCGAACAGTCTGGGTTATATATTGTGCTTGTTTAAATTATGAAAATGGCTTTGGAATCATTCGTTTTAATTGACAGAAATGAGGCCTTTCTATTTCTCCAGTCCAGTTAACTTTTTCTTTATTGTTAGGGCACTTGTTGGCAAGTGGATAGAAGCAGAGATGGTAGTGAGAGTGGAAGAAATGTGCTGTCCATCCAGGAGAAGTCTGTCTTCTGCAGTGACTGTAAGTTGTCTTTTTAAGAGTTGAAGATGATGTTGAGGCCATACATTGATGTCACAGACACACGCACAAAGTAACATCAAGGCAATATTGAAAATTTCAAATATAGACATTCAAGCCAATAGAGGTCCTAAGATATATTACCTGAACCAAATCACTTTCAGGTTTGAAAACTTAACAATCAACATTTTGCAGTTAGCTGTGTGTGTTCCATTGCCCTGAAAGAACCAGGAGTAGATAGAATCAAGCCTTCAGGAGTTTTTCAGTAACTCTTTTGTGGTCTTTTTGACACCAATTCTGTGAAAATTGCACATGCTAGCAGCTGGATTTCAACCTCCAGTCCTATGATTGGAAACCATAGACGCTCACCACTTGGTCACATGAAAGAGGTCAGCCATACTTTTCTATTTTTTTTACAAGCCAAGCCTTTAATTTCATATAGCAGCTTTTTACAGTCACTTTGACAGCCATTTTGTGAAATGACATGTACTGTTCTTATGCAGTATCCACTTTCCTGAAACAGATCAACCAAAAAAAAAGTACCTGCACATTCAACCGGTGTGCTGAGTGCACACAGTGGCTGGTACGCTTGTAGCCTTCAACTTTAAATGACCGTATCAACTATAAGTTTTGTGTCAGATTGATTTAAGACTCCGCATCTGTATTGATAAGGAATGTTTTACATGCACGGCGAGTGTTGAAAAAAAATTGGGCTTGGGAAGGGCAAGATCTCGGCTGTGAGATGATACAAAATAATGCTGCAACTTCTGGGTTAACACTGGAATAAAATTGACAGAACTTGATGACATTGATTGGTTTCTCCTAGGAATCCTAGCAGGAGGAATGTCCGTTGTGCTTGCTACGTCAGAGGCTCTGTTGTGAAATGCTGACCAACCGCAGAGGGCGCTATTACCATTCCATGAAGCCACTACATCACACAATGGTAATGGAAAAAGAAACAAAAAGAACTGAACACTGCCTTAATCGCACAATAGTAATGGAAAGAGGGAAAAAAAGAACTGAATGCTGCCTGAATTCCCTGATTTACATCACAGCAGGAGCGCCCCCACTCATCCAGAAAAGCTGACAAATTTTACTGTTTTTAGCAAGAGACCGAAAAATGTGACATTCTACTGAAAAATTCAGAGGACCTGACGTTTCAACCTAGGAAAATCTTGCTCTAAGTTATGTGTTCAAGTTTCAACCAACACAGTTGAATTGTTAGTAGCATACATGATGTAAAACTGAACATAATACAGAAAGGTTTGCAAATAAATGTTTGACCTAAAATATACTGAAATACATGCAAGGTTGAATATATTTTGTCTTTTAACATTGAAATTTCTGCTTTTGTTATTTAAATACATGTAAATGTGCCCTCTGACCTTTTTTAAATTGCGCAATCCTAACCTTTAAATATAAGTTCCGAATTCTTATCTATCAAGAGGCAATTGGCCTGGTGGTTAGCTAGCTGGCTGCCAGGCCAGGGGATCCCGGTTCAAATCCTGGGGTCCCCGGAAAAGGAGG